GATGTTCTTATAATTTTAAATTTTTTCTATATTTCAGTTGTTAATTCCATTATTACAAAATCCAATAAATAATGAAGCATGGCCAAAAGTATTATCACAAGATATTATGAGACATGCATTAGGAATTAAAAATAAAGTACATATATTAAATGGACAAATGAAAGGTAAAATTTATCTTCTACTAATTTTATTTATAATTTTTTTTCTTCTTCTTCTACATTTATGTATTTTTAGGTAAAACATTGCTACCTGTTCCAATGGGTGCTGATAAAGTAACAGAAGAGAGTCTTGGAAATGGTCATTCTGTTGATACAACATTATTACATGCTATTGAATCTGTTGTTATTGAATGGTCACATCAAATACAAGATGTTCTGAAAAAAGATTCATCACAAGCACTTTTAGAAGATCAAAATCCATTACCAAAAAATGAAACTGATTTTTGGAAAGCAAAATATGTTAATTTATTGAATATACATGAACAGGTAGATAATTGTTGTTATTTTTTTATTAATTTTATATCTCTTATATTTTAGACTATTAATTTAATTTGATTTTAGTTAAGTGATCCACGTGTTAAAAAAATGGCAGAATTATTGAAAAAAACAAATAGTAGTTATTATCCAGCGTTTGATTCTCTCTTACAAGATGTTAGCGATGCATTAGAAGAAGCAAAAGAAATTGATTTATATTTAAAACCGGTATCACAACATTTTGATTCAATTGAAACAACGGATTTTAGTGAAACACAACCATTGTATGGTCCACTATTTCATACATTATGTTTAATGTGGGCAAACTGTAAATCTTATCGAAGACCAGCTCGAATTATTATTCTACTACAAGAAATAAATAATTTAATTATGAAACAAGTATGTTTAGAATGAACATTTTATTGTATAAATTAGCATTAACCTATTATTATTATGATTATTCATTTAGGCTTCTGAATTTATGGAACCTATAGATTTGTTTAAAGGTGAACCGGATGAATCTATGGAAAAAATAAATCAAACATGTCGTGCATTAGACGCTTATCAATTGGCTTATAATCATTACAAAGGAAATGTGAAAAATTATTTTAAAAATGGTGAATTAGTAAAAGAATGGGATTTTTCACCGAAATTAGTTTTTGCTAAATGGGATTTATTTATGCAACGTGTTAAAGTTATACAAGTAAGAAAGAAACACTGAGTTTAATTTTGACGTTTCAAGATTAATAAATCGTATTAAGATCAGATATGATCAGAAAAAATCAGATCAAATTTCGTAGTCTCGAATTTTACGTCTGAACTTATACGTAGTAGAAGCATATAGGATCATATCTGATCTTATGAAATCGTACAGTACGCTCGTATATGACTGACGAGAGAACGTTCCCAACTGTCCAATCGCTTTCGAGCCGAAACCTAGTGTACTATAGATAGTCGACCATACTGATTCTGAATATCAACATGAGACGGGCAGTTAGGCCTCCAGAGACCGGTTTTCTGGAAAACCAGTTTTTCGAAAACTCTAAAAAAAAACCAAACCTTTCGTAACGAGGTATAATTGTAGCCCGCACATCTCTAAAATGAGACATCTCCCAGCTCTACACGACCTTTCTTTGCAAAGTTATAGAATTTACAAGAAAATATGTTCATTGTCAGTTCAAAGCTACAGAAATAAGAAGAAATTAATTTAGGGCTTTTCTTGTAAATTCTATAACTTTGCAAAGAAAGATCGTGTAGAGCTGGGAGATGTCTCATTTTAACCAGAAATGTGCGTGCTACAATTATGCCTCATTAAGAAAGGTTTGGGTCATTTTTTAGAGTTTCTGAAAAACTGATTTTTCCAGAAAACCGGTCTCCGGAGATCTATCAGCCCGTCTCATGTTGATATTCGGAATCAACATGGTCGACTACCTATAGTAGACTAGGTTTCGGCTCGAAAGCGATTGGACAGTTGGGAACGTTCCCTCGTGAGTATATTGAATCCGATAAGAGTAGACGAAATTAGACGTCTGAACAGACAAAACCGTATTTAATCAGATTGTCTGATTCTTCGATCTGAATTATTGTTGAATATTTAATTGTTGTTCTAATGGTATGTTTTGTCATTTATTTAAGGATTTATTTCAAACGGCTGCTGAATTTTTACGTCTAGAAAAAGTTGAAATTGGTGGTGTTAAAGGAAAAACATTGAGTCAACTTGTTGTAGAAATCTTTGAACTATTTAAAGAAGAATTTGAAAAATTGAGTTCAAAAAAATATGATCCATTAGATCCAACTTGTATTGTATGTAAATGTAAATTAAGATTTGAGTATAAATATTCACATTTATTGATATTTTAGGAATTTCTTGATGATATTGCAAATTTTAAATTATTTTTAAAAGATCAAGAATTGAAATTAGCTGCAATTATTAATCAAGCATTCGATGATTCCAACAGTTTAATTAGCCAATTTAAAGTAAATTAAAAACTTCTTTTATAACTATTTGAAATTTATTTTATCACTATTTTAAGTTAATATCAATTCTTGGCTCAATGGTTGAACGACAAACAATTCATCAAGCATTTGTTAAAAATTATTTTCGTTTAACTCAATCGGTTGAAAAAGAGATGGATACATGTCATGAGATATATGAAAAACAAATGGCTTATAGACAAGTACATGGGGTGATTGAACTACATCGTAATCAACCGCCAATTGCAGGCTCATTAGAATGGGTTGACGAAATGAGAGCAAGAATTAATGAACCTGTTGATTATTTTCTCAAATTAGATTATTCGTAAGTGAGAAACATCGACATAAGATTATTAAAATTTTTATCATTATGAATTCTAGAGCGAAAGATACAGATGATGGTAAACGTTTATTAGCGAAACATGAAGAATTACTGCGTTTATTGAATGATTTTGCCAAACTAATATTTAGCGAATGGTCATCAAATGTTGGAAAAGCTGCACATTTCAATCTCAAACAACATTTATTAACAAGAAATTTAGAAACAAAATTAGTTTTCACAAATTTTGATCCACAGGTAAAGTTTTTATTCTCCTTAATAAACACAAAAAAAATGTTTGTTGTAAATTCTATCGATCATATTCTAATTTCAAGCATTGATAGTCTTTCTCTCTCTCTTTCGTACACTTTAGTTAATTGGTGTATTGCGTGAAGTGAAATATATGCATCAGACAAAACAAGAACAAACAACAATTCCCGACGATGCTGCTAAAATGTATCAAGAAAACGAAAAATTTGTAAATTATGTTACCAATTTAGATTATACAACAAAATCTTATAATAAAATTCGACGTACACTTCAAGATGTTGAATATCCACTTGTTGAAAAACAACTAGAACAAATTGATACAAAATTGGCAAGAGCCGAAAAGGAATTATCATGGGATACAGCAGGTACACTCATTTTTTGTCTTTTCTTTATAAACTACAGATTATAATTTAAAACGTAGAATTATATGCAAAATGAAGAATGTAATAAATTGATTGGTATTAAAGAATTGTCTACAAATTGTCGTTAAGAAACACTTGCATGCTTGTATTTGTTTTCTGACACTATTTATCGTCTACACAAATATATTTTGCATATTCAAAATTTATTATTTTAATTTGTTTTCATTTATTCTAATTATTATTAATCTTTTTTATTTTAGAAATTTGGGAATATATTAAGAATACAAGAGCTGAAGTACATGATTTAGAAAATCGTTTACATAAGACAAAAGCAAATGTTGAACAAATTCAACGTCTAATGTCAACTTGGCAAGATATTCCATTATATAAGAGAAGTGAAGGAAAATCGACGCTACTCTATTTGGATGATAAAGAACAACGATTAAATAATCGTTATAAAGAAATTGAAGAAACGGGAAAGAAAATTCATGCACTACTAAAAGTAAGAGAATATATAAATTTAGAGAAGAAAAAAAAACATTATAAAAAATTATGTAATCATATTTTATTTTGTAGGAAAATGGTGATTTACTTCGTGTTGAAAACTATGAGATTGATGCGTGGCGTAATTATGTGGATTATGTTGATAAAATTGTTATCGATGGATTTCGAAAAATAATTCAATGTAATCTAGCATTCTTTTTGAAAGAAACTGATTCAACACAGAATCCAGATCCCTTATTCGAATCACAATTACAGTTACAAGTACGAAATGATTTATAGTTTATATTATTTTGAAATTTTTCATTATTTCATTTAGATTCCATATATGGTTTATGCGCCATCAATGGAAGAACATGAAAAAAATAGTTTTTTTGCATTAATTGATGGTCTTCTTGGAACAATTTATAAACAAGGATCGCTCATTCCAAGATTAGCTGGTCATACGAATCAACAAAATTATCAGGTAAGTTTTGATTTACGGAAATATGAGTATCTTAAGGGTCACTCCGCCTCTTTTTTTCATCTTTAATTAAGCTAAAATTTTTACCATAGTTAGAAGATTAAAACAGAAAATCGATGCGTATGTGGCCGAGAATTCTGTATTATGTTTGTCTATGGCAGAGGTGTAGAATCTAGCCGTGTGCGCATACCGGCGTACGTGGAAAAGTTTTGAAATCTGTGGAAATTTTTAAAAAATTATCCAACGGAAAAAATGTGGAATTGTTTCCCCTAATGAGGGTACCTTGCCAACTGCCCTCTCATTTTTTTTTCGAAACGTAGTAGGTTATAGGTAATCAACCATGCTGATTCCGAATATGATAGCTGTTTTTCTGCATGGACCTTTCCTAGCCGGTGTTGGAAAACTGGTTTTCCAGAAACCTCGAAAAATCCTCAGAACTTTTTCTGAATAAGCCATGATTAGGAATTACCTATAACCTACCACATTTCGTTAAAAAAACGAGGGGACAGTTGGGCGAGGTCCTCTTTGTTAAACCTATAATTTTGGATAGGTTAGATATTGTTTTAGATATCTGTGGTTGGTTTTTCGAGCAATCAGCGGACTCAATAATTTTTTTCCTGATACACTCTTACAAGTGAAGGTCTAAAATTGAAGAATATCTGTAACTTTTTATTTGTTGTGTTTAGTCTGAATTAGAAACGGCTCAAGATTTATCTGATTTACGTTCAGAATTTATTGATCGTGTTCATAATGTAATTACAAAAGCAAACGAATATCGTGCATTTTTCAATAAATATGCTTATTTGTGGGTCGATGATCGTCAAGAATTTATGAGACAATTTTTATTGTACGGTCACGTATTAAGTCAAGAAGAAATAGAAGCAAATGCCGAAGCCGGTGTGCAACAAAATCCGCCAACACTACAACAATTCAAAGAACAGGTATGAATATATACGTCAAACAGTAATGTTTTTATATCATTTACATTTCTACAATGATACAGAGCGATCTCTTCGGATGACTTTTCTCGTATGTCACTTGAATTACCAAAGCTCTGACAACTTTTTTTCCGAGAATTCAACTCCATAATTCTTATTTTTGGGAAATATGTTTCTAATTTTCCTCTCATGTTTAAAATTACAGATCTTAATGCATTTAGGTTGATACATATGAGACAATCTACGATGAAGTTAGTAAATTTGAAGATACAAAAATCTTAGACAGATGGTTTCGCGTTGATAGTCGACCATTTAAACAAGCTCTATTGAACACGGCTAAAAAATGGTCATTTATGTTTAAACAACATCTGATGGACGATGTTACAAATAGGTAAGGAATAGAAAATTCATCTCATTTATTCGTTTCTATTCGTTTCTATCATTTTTTTACCTTTTATTTTAGTCTTCAGGAATTGAGTGATTTCATTAAACATCATGATAAAGGTTTAAATGTTGATGTTGGTGAAGGTGATTATCAATCGTTAGTCAATGTTATGGGTCATTTGGGTGCGGTGAGAGAGAAACAACCAATATTTGATATGATGTTTGAACCGTTGAAACAAAAATTGGAATTATTAAAATCCTACGGTCAAGAAATATCCGATGATATTTATGAAAGACTAAATGTTCTACCAGAAAAATGGACAAATACTAAAAAACTTGCATTAAACGTTAAACAACAGGTTGCTCCATTACAAACGAATGAAGTAGCAAATTTGAGAAAAAAAATTGCCAGTTTTGACGTTAGACAATATGAATTTCGAGAAAAATTTCGAAAAGAATTACCATTTGGTTATGATAGTAAAAATGTTTACAAACGATTGGATAAAGGACATATGGACATATCGGGAATGGAACGTGAAATGCTACAATTAAATTCGTCAGCAGCTCTCTTTGAAGTTAATGTACCCGATTTTAAACAAGTTAAACAATGTCGAAAAGAAATTAAATTATTAAAACAATTGTGGGATTATATTACTTTAATTCAGACAACGTTTGAAGATTGGAAAAAAACAAAATGGAGAGAAATTAATGCTGAACAAATGGACATAGAATGTAAAAAATTTGCAAAAGATATTCGAAGTAAGAAATAAAAATTCAATTTTATATTCATTTTTAAATTGTTAAACTTTGTGACTTTAGCATTGGACAAAGAGATGCGTGCATGGAATGCTTACACCGGTTTAGATGATGCTGTTAAAAATATGATCACATCATTAAGAGCTGTTACAGAACTTCAAAATCCGGCCATAAGAGAACGTCATTGGTTAGAATTGATGCAAGCAACAGGCGTTAAATTTGAAATGACTGATTCAACAACATTCGCCGATTTGTTAGCTTTACGTTTACATCAATATGAAGATGAAGTCAAAGGTATTGTGGATAAAGCGGTCAAAGAAATGGCAATGGAAAAAGTGTTGAGAGAATTGGATAATACATGGAAAACAATGGAATTTGGAAGTGAACCACATACACGAACAAAATTACCTTTGACACAGGCTACAGAAGAATTAATTGAAGTTTTAGAAGAAAATCAAGTACAACTACAAAATATGTTAACATCAAAATATATTGCACATTTTCTTAAAGAAGTAACAGATTGGCAAAAGAAATTGTCACAAGCCGATCAAGTAATACATATTTTAATTGAAGTACAAAAAACTTGGTCACATTTGGAATCAATTTTTATCGGTTCACAAGATATTCGAAATCAATTGCCAGAAGATAGTGCTCGTTTTGATTCAATCGATAAAGATTTTAGAGAGATATCTGAAGAAAATCAAAAAGATTTAAATGTTGTCAAATGTACAAATCGGCCGAAGTTGTATGAACGATTAGAAGATATCAAAGCAAGATTATCTCTTTGTGAAAAAGCATTAGCCGATTATTTAGAAACAAAACGATTGGCATTTCCAAGGTATTTACAAAAAATAATTGATTGCATATAATTTGTTCAAGTTTGTATGAACGAATCTATTTTAGATTTTATTTCGTTTCGGCTGCTGATCTGTTAGATATATTATCAAATGGTAATGAACCTGAGAAAGTCATGCGACATTTAACAAAACTGTTTGATTCAATGGCAAAATTAAAATTAACTGAAGAAAATGGTGTGATAAAAAAAGAAGCTAGTAAATATATTTTGGCATGAATGTGTTTCGGAGCGTGATTTATAATGTATTTTTTAGCTGCTATGTGGGCAAAAGATGGTGAATATATAGCATTTCCATCGCCATGTGATCTCAATGGTCAAGTGGAAGTTTGGTTAAACAGGTACGTAGTCGTCTTTACGCAAAGGAATGTAATTGTTGTTAATGGTGCTTAATTATCGTATAGTTTCGATAATCCAACTTCCTAGTGAAACTTCTTGTACCCGAGATCTTGGGTTAAGAAATATCACAAGATCTTGGGAAAAAACACTAAGAAGTCAAGATCTTGGATTCTTGACTCTTTCATCCAAGATCTTGGGAACAGAAATTTTAAGATCTTGACTTCTTGAAAATTTCTTGAATTCTTACATTTTCTTATCAAGATCTTATTGAAAAAATTCAGAAAGTCAAGATATTGGTTATAAGAAGTTCCACTAGGGCTGTGTATAAACACTAATGAAATACACTTTGAGAGATGAGCTTGAAGATCTGATAGTATCATTTCTAACATAAGATGTGCATTCACTGCACATTATAATTTTACTAGATGTGTATTTTTTCAGCTGTTACCACGGTACTCAATTTTGCAAACCTATCACAGGTTTCCGTAGCGGTAGTAGACCCAATATTTACACATGGTTAGATCCGTGAGATGCATCTTTACAAAGTTATACGTGCAGTTTTTGTAAATTCCTTTTGGTTGCTGAGAAAAATTATTTCACTCATCGGAGGCGAAAAAGTCGGAATTTTGCCCGTAATTCACAATTTTCTCGACCAGAACTCAACTTTTGAGCAATAAAAATATCATATTCGGAATCAGGATCAAAGACTGAGCGGACTGATGTGTATTTCGATCCTATCCCACTACTTTAATGTTTTTCGAATTTTCACGTTGCAAAATTATCGAGATTTTCACCAAAAAATGAAAATCAACTAAAAATTCGAAATACACATCAGTCGACTCAAGAGAGAGGTCCACCAACTGTCCAACCGCTTTTGAGACAAAATCTTGTGGGTGATACGTAATTGGCAATGCTGATTCCGAATCGACATGAGACGGGCAGTCAGGCCTCCAGAAACTGGTTTTCTAGAAAGTGAGTTTTCCAGGACTTCAAAAAATCTCTGAAACTTTTTCTTAATAACTCATGTTTGTAGCTCGCGAAATTCTGATCAAAATGAGACATCCTTAGTTCTACATGACCTTTCTTTGCAAAGTTATAGAATTTACAAGAAGAGCCCTAAATTTCTTCTTATTTGTGTAGCTTTGAGCTGACACTGAACATTTAGGACTTTTCTTGTAAATTCTATAACTTTGCAAAGAAAGGTCATGTAGGACTGGGGATTGTCTCATTTTACGCGCTACAGACATGAGTTATTAAGAAAAGTTTTGGAGATCGTTTGAAGTTTCTGGAAAACTCATTTCCTAGAAAAGCGGTTTCTGAAGGTCTAACTGCCCGTATCATGTCGGAATCAGCATGGTCGATTACCTATCATCCACTAGGTTTCGCCTCCAAAGCGATTGGCAGTTGGACGAGATTAAATGTTGAGAAAGTGATTTTTGAGTGTGATGAAATTTCGTTTTGAGATATTTTTTGTTAGAATTTATTAGCATTTTACTGAAAAACGATGATATCCGTATAACACAAAGCATTCAGTGCAACACTTAAGCTTATTTGGTGATCAGCATTTGATGAGAGGTATAAATAGAGAAAAATTTGAAGTTGAATGCTATCGCGATTTTTGAGATCGGGGGAAGAGCGAAATCGTTTTGGTGAATACTGTATCTTTCAGTTTACTGGTTATACGAATTTTTATGTTTTTATTTAGATTATTAGAAAAACAATGTGAAACAGTGCGATACCATTTAACAGAAGCTGTTCAAGCCTATGAAGAAAAACCACGTGAGCAGTGGATTATGGGTAAGCGTAATGTGAAACCGTTGGCGAAAAAACTTATGCTCTGAATTTGCTATTGTTTAGATTTTCCTGCTCAAGTTGCATTGACTGGGTCTCAAATATGGTGGACAGTCGAAGTAAATGCATCATTTGCCAAACTAGAAGAAGGTTACGAAAATGCGCTGAAAGATTATTATCGAAAACAAGTGAGTCAGCTTAATTCACTTATTGGACACTTACTTGGTGATCTAAGTGCGGGTGATCGACAAAAAATTATGACAATATGTACAATTGATGTGCACGCAAGAGACGTGGTCATGAAAGTAGTCGCACAAAAGGTATGTTATTTTACATGTCTATGAGACGGGTTTAATTCAGTATTTTCTCCTGTTCATATTTAGTGTGAAAGTGCAAATGAATTTTTATGGCAATGTCAACTACGTCATCGGTGGGATGAAGCTGAAAAAGATTGTTTTGCAAACATCTGCGACGCCCAATTTCGATATGCTCATGAATATTTGGGAAACCAACCTCGATTAGTAATTACACCATTAACAGATCGGTATGTTTTAGCTTTTCTTCGCTAAAAACAACACTACTATTCTGTTCTCTTATATGCAGATGTTATATAACACTGACCCAATCGTTACATTTGATCATGGGGGGAGCACCAGCAGGACCAGCCGGTAAGCTTATTTCTAGTTGTTTGTTTCAAACTAAAGAATACTATTAGTTCCACACATACAAATCTCACACTCTCAAACCATTGTTAGAAAGTTCATACCATCAACAATCTGTCACCCGAATATCACCAAGTCCTTTTCGTTCAGAGAAAAATGTTACTTCTTATCACGATGACCAAATAGAACGAGAATTAGCTAAATTGTTATCAATCGTCGACGAAGAAATATTTCTATAAAAACGTCGTCTGTTGTCCAATTCAGTAGACTCTGTTCTACAAGTTGATAGTGATTATTACCCTAGTGAATGTACTAAAGCTTGAGCACTCAAAGTCCTACTCTACTGAAAAATGTCAGTGTGCTAACACATTTTTACTCATTTAGTACTCATATGAGTGCTCATGAGTGAGTAATGAGTACTGTGAGTACGACTTTGAGTATTGCTGAATACTCATATAATTTTTGGCAAAATATTCATGAGTAATTAATTGTTCATCTGGTATTTTTACATAGAGGAGTGATCTCAGACAGCCAGAGTTGGACTACAAGTCTATTCACAGACGAGTCCATCTCTGACTATATACAGAGAGATCAGCTAGAAAAAAGTAATATAAATATTCTGTTTCTTTAATAAATTCTACGTTCTTTATACGTTTCATTTTTTGCAAAATAAAACGGTGAATGAATATTTTCTGTGTACTCACTGAGTAAAAATACTCAGAAATTGTTCATAGAACTCATATGAACACTCATGGATGAATTATGCGTAAAGTCGTACTCAAAGTATGAGTACTTTCATTAGAGTAATCACTTTTGTTATCAATTGATGAAGAAATGTTTATAAAAAAATTAGAACAAAAGTTGTATCAGAAATAGTTACGACGCATCTAGGATTAGATATAAGTTAGCCAGTTTTTAAATGGCATAATTGAAACTTTGTGTGAAATACTTCTTAACAGTGAGTTAGCATAATCTGACTTGCTGTTTATAAAAAATAAAGAACCGTGTTAACCCAATAAGAGCCAAAAATATTGTAAAATATTCAGAAAAGATGTAACTTATTTTAAGAGACATTTTTTATTGTCAAGGTACTGGTAAAACTGAGACAACAAAAGATCTTGGTCGAGCGTTAGGTATTATGGTGTATGTTTTTAACTGTTCGGAACAAATGGACTATAAGTCTTGTGGCAATATTTACAAAGGATTATCACAAACAGGTGCTTGGGGTTGTTTTGATGAGTTTAATCGCATTGCAGTTGAAGTATTGTCTGTTATTGCTGTGCAAGTGAAAACAATTCAAGTAAAAGAAACCAAAATATTTTTATATCTCTATAAATGTGAAAACTTCCATTAATATTTTAGGATGCTATTCGTGAGAAAAAAGCTCGTTTCGTTTTCATGGGTGAAGATATACGTTTAAACCGAACTGTTGGTCTGTTTATCACCATGAATCCTGGATATGCTGGAAGAACTGAACTACCGGAAAATTTAAAAGCATTATTCAGGTAAAATAAGATAAATCAAATGTGTAAAATCTAAACGATAAATTTACTCGTTTTTTTAAGACCTTGTGCTATGGTAGTCCCAGATTTTGATTTAATTAGTGAAATTATGATGGTTGCTGAAGGATTTACAGATGCACGATTACTGGCTAGAAAATTTATTACACTTTATTCACTGTGTAAAGAATTATTATCAAAACAAGTAAGTACAATTAATTGTTGCTATTGAGCTACTTGATACAATAGTTTTCAAGTGTCAATTGATAATTTTTTCTTTTTGATCTTCTTAGGATCATTATGATTGGGGTTTACGTGCAATAAAATCCGTATTAGTTGTTGCTGGTGCTTTGAGAAGAAGTGATCCTGGCAGACCAGAAGATCAAGTACATAGATAACTCAGTTTCTTTATATATTTAGTAACTGTTACGTATTTATCTCTTTCTTATAAAGGTATTGATGCGTGCCTTACGTGATTTTAATATTCCAAAAATTGTCACAGACGATACGCCCGTCTTCATGGGTCTTATTGGAGATTTATTTCCTGCCCTTGATGTACCACGTAAACGGTATGTGATTTGTTTGTTTGTCTAGTTCTATAAAATTTTAGATTATTTTTATCGTTTTTCTAGTAATCTTGAGTTTGAAAAACTGGTTAAACAAGCAACCGTCGATTTAAAACTTCAACCTGAAGATTCATTTATTTTAAAAGTTGTTCAATTACAAGAATTATATGAAGTGAGACATTCAGTATTTATTGTGGGTAATGCGGGCACAGGTAAAAGCCAAATATGGAAAGTTCTAAATCGTACATATCAGAATCAGAAACGTAAACCGATTGCCGTTGATCTGAATCCAAAAGCTGTAACAAATGATGAACTGTTTGGTATTATTAATCCAGCTACAAGAGAGTGGAAAGATGGTAAATGAGAAATAATTGTGTTGATTATCGTAAAGATTTTATATTATATTTATAGGTCTATTCTCTACCATCATGCGTGATTTGGCAAATATGACATCGGATGGTCCTAAATGGATTGTACTTGATGGCGATATTGATCCTATGTGGATTGAAAGTTTAAATACGGTTATGGATGACAATAAAGTCTTGACATTGGCTAGCAATGAAAGGATACCGTTAAATCCAACAATGAGATTGTTATTTGAAATCAGTCATTTAAGAACCGCAACACCAGCCACCGTATCAAGAGCCGGCATACTCTATATCAATCCTCAAGATCTTGGATGGGTAAGTCTAAAATGAAAATATAGTACTAGAATACAATCTACTTTAGTTTATCACTTTTTAGTCTTTAATAATTTATTTAATTTTCTTGCGATTTAGAATCCTCAAGTCGCCACATGGATTGATACACGCGAACAACAAAGTGAACGTGCAAATTTAACAATTTTATTCGATAAATATGTTCCATTATGTTTGGAGGCAGTTAAATCTCGTTTCAAAAAAATTACACCGATTGTCGAAGGTGCTCATATTCATATGCTCTGTCGATTACTCGAATGTATGTTAACAGCAACAAATACACCTGTCGATTGTCCAAAAGATTTATATGAACTTTATTTCGTGTTTGCTTGTGTGTGGGCCTTTGGAAGTGCTCTATTTCAAGATCAACTCACCGATCATCGACTAGAATTTTCAAAATGGTGGATAACAGAATTCAAATCTATCAAATTTCCGATACAAGGAACAGTATTCGACTATTATATTGAATCTGAAACAAAAAAATTTGAACCATGGACAAAATTAGTGCCAAAATTTAGACTTGATCCAGAAATTCCATTACAATCTGCTCTTGTTCCAACAGCTGAAACTACTCGTTTACGTTATTTTATGGATTTATTAATGGAAAAGGGCTGGCCCATAATGTTAGGTATGTAGTTTTTTATTATTTAAAAACATACTATTTCGTAAATAAATTTGTTTGTTTCTGTCATGTTTATTTAGTGGGTACCGCTGGATGTGGAAAAACTGTTTTAATCAATGATAAATTAGCATCACTTAGTGAAGATTGGTTAGCTGTTAGTGTACCATTTAATTTTTATACGACTAGTGAAATGCTACAATCAATATTAGAAAAACCATTGGAGAAAAAAGCAGGCAGAAACTATGGTCCACCAGGAAGTAAAAAAATTATCTATTTTATCGATGATATGAATATGCCAGAAGTAAGTTAGAAAAGTGTATATTAGGCATTTGAATTCATTAGAGAAAAAAAAACTCTTCTTTCTTTCTTTCTAATTTAGGTAGACGTATATTACACTTGTCAACCACACACACTACTTCGGCAACATTTAGATTACAAACATTGGTATGATCGTCAAAAATTGACATTGAAAGAAATTCATAATTGTCAATATATATCGGGAATGAATCCAACATCTGGTAGTTTTACCATTGATACTCGTCTTCAACGACATTTTGCCGTTTTTGCCGTCTCATTTCCCGGAATGGAAGCATTAGAAACAATCTACATTAATATTTTAACTCAACATTTAGCAGAAGGATTTTCACAACAAGTAATGCGTTATGCCAGCAGTATTGTTAAAGGTGCAATCGAATTACATCGACGAATAACAGCAACATTCTTACCAACGGCTATTAAATTTCATTATATATTCAATTTAAGAGATTTATCAAATATATTTCAAGTAAGTTAGAATAGAATTTCTCTCACAATGATTAGAAGAACACTTCGTTGATCAAAACAAATTTGTTAAATTTTTAATTAGACTATTTTTTATTTAATCATCCATTATTAGGATTTGTTTTCAATATTTCTTTTTTTATGTATTTTTAAGGCTATCTTATTTGGTAAACCAGAAGCATTAAAATCTCACAATGATTTAATTCGTTTATATTTACATGAATCGGAACGTGTATATTGTGATAAATTAGTTGATCGTACAGATATTGATACATTCATAAAATTACAACGTGAAGTGGCCAAAAAATCATTTGAAGTGGGTTAAAAAATTTTTAATTTAAATTTATTTTACGTTCATACTATATTTTTAGGAATTAGACGAAGATTATTGCTTTAAAAAACCCAATATTTATTGTCATTTTGCTATGGGTGTTGGTGACCCGAAATACATGCCGATAGATAATTGGACACAATTACAAAAATTGTTAAATGATGCCTTAGATGCTTACAATGAATTGAATGCACAAATGAATTTAGTATTATTCGAAGATGCTATGACACATATTTGTAGAATTAACAGAATACTAGAGTTTCCACGAGGTATACAATGAAAAAGATTATTTTTTTACCTCATTTTAATATTATTCATTCGTTTAGCTATCTTTCTCAAATTCTCAATTAATTTTTTCTCTCTTTCTCTCTGGTTTTAGGGAACGCTCTTTTGATCGGTGTAGGTAAGAATTGTAAAGTAGAATTCAATAAACATTTCATTATCTGTTAACTATTTTAGATGGTAGTGGTAAACAGAGTTTATCTCGTTTGGCTGCTTCGATAAGTTCATTGGATGTATTTCAAATTACATTACGTAAAGGCTATAGTATTACCGATTTAAAAACAGATTTAGCTGCTTTGTATATTAAAGCTGGTCAAAAAGGAATTGGAACTGTATTTCTAATGACTGATTCACAAGTAGCTGATGAAAAATTTTTGGTATTAATTAATGATATGTTAGCATCAGGAGAAATACCCGGATTATTTGCCGATGATGCTGTAGAAGAAATAATTGGTGCATTAAGAAATGAAGTGAAATCACAAGGTATTGATGATACAAGAGAAAATATTTGGAAATATTTTATTGAAAAAGTGCGAAAAAATTTAAAAGTAAGTATTTAGCAACGATGATGTAGGTACATTTTCTAATTTTTTGTCTATTAAGCTTGTACTATGCTTTTCTCCTGTTGGTGCAACATTGCGTGTACGTTCTCGTAAATTTCCGGCAATTACCAATTGTACAAGCATCGATTGGTTTCATGAATGGCCAGAAGAAGCCTTGATATCTGTCGCGAATCGGTATGTTGCTGAGATTCATATAGTTTTAACTTCGATCTAATGATAACTCGTTAGTCTCCTGAACATATGACAGTTGTCTCAGACAGAGATCATGACTTTTGGACTGTTTGATCTTTTTAGTTTCGTCAGTGATGTAGACATTTTAAAACCAGAAATAAAAGATTCAGTTTCAAAATTCATGGCATTTGTGCATAAGTCTGTCAATGATATGAGTGTCACTTATTTACAGGTTTGTTAAGTTATTTACGGATTGTGCTGTTGTATATTGTTATCTTTCTCTATTTAGAATGATAAACGTTATAATTATACGACACCAAAATCATTTTTAGAACAAATCACATTGTATAAAAATCTGTTAGCGAAAAAAAGTCGTGAATTACAAGAGAAAATAAATCGACTTGAAAGTGGTCTTGTAAAATTGCAATCGTGCGCAAGACAAGTTGATGATTTAAAAGATAAACTAGCAGCTCAAGAAGTAGAATTGAAACAAAAAAATGATGATGCTGATAAACTAATTAAAGTTGGTAGTCAATTATTTTCTTTAATATTATCTTTTATTCACTTATTTCATTTTGTAGGTTGTTGCGACTGAAACTGAAAAAGTGACAAAAGAAAAGGAATCAGCCGGTGTTGAACAAGCGAAAGTCGCCGAAATCGAAAAAAACGTAACAATAAAAGCAACTGACTGTGAACGAGATTTAGCACGTGCTATGCCAGCATTGAAAGCAGCTGAAGAAGCGTTAAATACATTAGACAAGAATAATTTGACTGAAATGAAAGCATTTCCAAATCCACCAGAAGCTGTTTTAAAAGTGGGTGCTGCAGTGATGTGTCTAATGCCGCCTGGTGGGAAAATACCAAAACCAGCTCAGCGTGATTGGAAAACTGTTAAAGCAAGTATGGGAAGTGCTGATCAATTTCTTGGTATGCAATTTCTCATTCACAGTAGTGCGTGCGTGTGTGAAAAAACACAAAATCTGTCTTTTCTAGGTGCACTACGATCATACGATAAAGAAAATATCCGTGAAGATATGCAAAGAGAAGTACGACCGTATTTAGAAGATCCCGGTATGTAAAGATGTAGAGAAACTCAACTATTAGGTTTTATCAGCAAAGTATCAATGAATAAAGAGCCTTCACCATCGAATTAACTCGAAAAAGAAATATTCCATTTCATTTATTATTTCATTTTTTCGCACACTCTGCTTTATTCAAATGAGTTCACGTTTCAAATCAAATGTGTTTATTTTCTCTCTCACTCTCTCTCTGTTTAGAATTTGAACCGGAAAAAATCAAATCAAAATCAGCCGCAGCAGCCGGATTATGTGCTTGGGTTATTAATATTGTCAAATTTTATGAAGTTTATTGTGAAGTTGAACCCAAACGACTAGCTCTAGAAAAAGCCAATGCTGAATTGAAAGCAGCCCGAGATAAACTGGAGTTGGTCAATAAACAAGTGGCGGTGAGTCATTATTTTTACCAAAGCTTCTTAAAGATCATAGTCGCTTAAAAAACAGTCAGATATCCATGGAAAACGTGATGATTTTTTTCTGTTCATTTTAGCAATTAGAAGAAGCATTAGCAAAACTAACAGCTGAATATGATACAGCTATGTCAGCTAAACAAAAATGTCAAGAAGAAGCTGATCGTACATCATATACTATATCATTAGCCAATCGACTCGTCGGTGGATTAGCATCGGAAAATGTTCGATGGCGTGAATCTGTTGCCGGTTATCGTTTATCTGAAGATACGACACCCGGTGATGTTTTGCTCATAACAGCTTTTGTTTCCTATATGGGTTGTTTTACAAAAACATATCGTGTGGATCTAATGGAAAATTATTGGAGACCAAAATTATCCGAATTAAAGGTAAGATGAAAACGATATCGGACTCTATGCGAGATAAATTGACGCGTGGGTGTAATTGGTGAATGTGATGAAATCTTACTCAATTCTTATATAAGATCCTCCATAAAAGTGACAAGAATTCTGCTGGATCTTATAAGAATCGAGTAAGAGCCAGTGGACAGCTTGCCCAAACGTAACGGCGTCACATTTTCGACATAGTAATTCTGAATTTTTATAGAAACTATAAGAGGTAGATGGATGATTCTACCGCCATTTTGTACAGTTCACTGTCCTCTGTCTCTGATAAAAAAATGAGAAAATTTGGGTAATATTTACGGGTTTGGGAAGGAATATTCGGTGCGTGACGGACATGATAGAAGAAGGTCCTAAATTGCGATTACATCCAATTAAACGCTAATTTCTTACGAAACTACATGAGGAAATGGAAACTATCTAGAGCAAACATTTTAGAGAAGCTTATGAGCTATCCAATATTAAAAAAGTGTTTTTCCAAAGCCTTTCCTTCGCTTATAAATGTCAATAAATAATGGAACGGCGTGACACACTTTTTTGTCAGTGAATTTTCGGGCACTTAATGTCCTCCAAAAAGCTTGATTTTTCTATTTGCCATAGATTTGGTGATATTCTATCGATTGATATGAAAAATAAAGTTGAAAAAGTATTTTCCGGTGTTTAAACTTGACTGGAACCTTGAAACAACAAAAAGACATAACTTTTGCTCCACAAGCCGAATTGTCGAAAAAAATGTGGCATTTTGTACAGAATTTTTTATTTTCTATTAAATGGTGTGAATTCATAGAGGATCTATAAGAATTGAGTAAGATTTTTATAAGCTTCTTGTCGGATTTCATAAAAACATTTTGTCTAGGGAAGTAAGAAAAACGTTTCATTTCTTAATTATTAGCCTCCAATACCCGTTACTACCGATATTGATCCCCTATCATTATTAGTTGATGATGCTGTTGTGGCTGGTTGGAATAATGAAGGTTTACCATCAGATCGCATGTCAAGTACGTAATTTACTCTATTCTTTGTTTTGTTATTTTTCAACATTCATCATTTTCGTTCTAGCTGAAAATGCAACAATTCTAACGTGTTGTGAAAGATGGCCGTTAATGATTGATCCGCAATTACAAGGTAGATGAGACTAATATAATCAATTTTTATGTCTTCTTTCTATAATTGTGCCAATTTTAGGTATAAAATGGATTAAACAACGTTATGGTGAACCTCTTAAAGTCATTCGTCTTGGTCAAAAGCAATATTTGGACAAAATTGAACAAGCAATAGCAGCCGGTGATGTGTTGTTACTCGAGAATATTGATGAATCAATTGAAGCTGTACTAGATCCATTATTAGGAAGAAATACCATCAAGAAAGGACGAGCAATTAAATTGGGAGATAAAGAAATCGAATATCATCCAGGTTAGTTAAAAAAGTTCAACCCTCATTTTCGTCTTCGACATCATCTACTATCATGTTCATTGTCTTATTTCATACATGTATAAATTGTTGTCATCTGTTTTAGGATTTCGTCTAATATTGCAAACTAAACTGGCTAATCCTCATTACAAACCCGAAATGCAGGCCCAAACAACATTGATTAACTTTACCGTTACCAAAGATGGTTTAGAAGATCAACTCTTAGCTGATGTTGTAGCTAAAGTATGTGTTTAACCATGTATAGATGTATTTTCATGTGTGTTTAATCATCTATGATTGATTTAGGAACGCCCTGATTTAGAGCGATTAAAATCAGATTTGACAAAACAACAGAATGAATTTAAAATAACATTAAAAAAATTAGAAGATTCCCTTTTGGCTCGTTTATCATCGGCCGAAGGCAATTTTCTGGGTGATACAGAGTTAGTAGAAAATTTAGAAAATACAAAACGAACAGCAACCGAAATTGAAGAAAAAGTCAAAGAAGCAAAAATAACATCAATTAAAATTGATGAAGCTAGAGAATTATATCGTCTAGCTGCCGCAAGAGCCAGTCTAATCTATTTTATTATGAATGATTTAAATAGAATTAATCCAATGTATCAGTTTTCATTAAAAGGTAAGTTGATTAGTGAACTAACGGCATGGTCATTGATACTACGGAAGACATAGTAGGAAAAAATATGGAGTTAAACGAATCAAATATTTTTTCACTGTAAATATCTAGGTAGTATACTTTCCGATGCAAGTCACACACACACACACACACACACGTGTATATGCATCCGAGAATTAAGACACTCACTAAGATGCTTTTATTTCGATGCGTTGATCCGAATATCTTGGACGCCTTTTTTCAACACTGATTCTTTCGTATTAAATATTTCGTTATATAAATTCATTACAACTACGCCGAATATATGAGCTGAAGATATTGTATTTTACGGTATTTGAGATAATGTAAAGAAATAAATTGAGGTTAAAAACGTTCTTCGCTTCTGTAAAACGTCCATATATTCTCTGATTCTAAGCGTATCCAGTTTCCGCTAAAATTTGAGCGAACAGCGATATAGTAACGATACATTATAACGGGAAGATTCCACCAGATTCAATCATGAAATCAACCAACAGCCCATGAGAAAAAGCTGATCAACATTTCAATATTTATTATTTTTGTGTTTAGCATTCAAAGTTGTATTCGCATCGGCTATTGAGCGTGCTGAAGCAGATGAAGATGTTAAAAAACGTGTATTAAACTTGATTGACTCTATCACCTATTCAACATTTCTTTATACTACACGAGGCCTGTTCGAAAAACATAAACTGATATTTACATCACAAATGGCATTTTTAGTATGTTTCTAATATTAAAAAAACAGAACATTTTTCATTTATAAAACTGTCTGTTGTAGATTTTACTTGTACAAAAAGAAATAGATCCAAAAGAATTGGATTTTCTATTACGTTTTCCAATTATACCCAATGTTACATCACCCGTGGATTTTCTAAGCGATTTTTCTTGGGTAAGAGAATTTAACATTTCTTAATGCAATACGTTTATTACTACCTCTTGTATTACGTTATATTCTACTTTTAGGGTGGAATAAAAGCTTTATCACAAATGCAAGAATTTACAAATCTCGATCGAGATATCGAAGGTTTATTTAAAAAAGCTTAATTAAATTCTCATATGTAAAAGATTAACTCATTTCATAGGCTCGGCTAAACGATGGAAAAAATTTGTTGAAATGGAAGCGCCAGAAAAAGAAAAATTACCTCAGGAATGGAAAAATAAAACACCGTTACAAAAATTATGTATGATGAGAGCACTGAGACCAGATAGAATGCTTTATGCACTAAGGTAATAGCTCTCATAATTTATTTTATCTCCTATCAACATAAGTCGTTTTTCTCTAGTTTATTTGTTGAAGAAAAACTTGGCAAACAATTTGTTGAAAATCGTGCTGTACCATTCGTAAAATCCTATGAGGAAACGACGCCTAGTACGCCTGTATTCTTTATTCTATCACCTGGTGTGGATCCAATTAAAGATGTAGAAGCATTGGGAAAAAAATTAGGATTTTCATCCAATTTAAAAACATTTCATAATATATCACTTGGACAAGGTATGTATTTTTTATCTGTTAATGACAAACAAAAATTATCAAACGAACTATTTGAAAGTGGTTTGAGTGGGAAAGCTTTTATTTTTCATGTTTTGACCTATTGCTCTGCTAATGAAGATGTCATCTGATACAAGCAATAGTCTCCGTTAAGTGATCTAAGACCCTTCTTGCGATGTTTATGAAGTTTATGAACTCATTGTAGAGTACAATGTTTTGTGTATTTAGTTTTCGGTAAAATGTAAATAAATCCCAACTAGAAAGGTCATCATTAGAGTTTTATATAGATAAAAAGTAGATAAATTTTGATTTCAACTGGGGCTTGATATAGAGAGTTGAATACAGGACACATCATGACCTGTCTGTTTTTCTCTTTTGAAGAATTCATGTACGTACTGTGTTCAAGGATTGGAAAATTAACTAATAAAAACGATTTTTTCACTCAGCTGTTTTTGGAATATTTTTAAGTGAGAATGAAATAATAGTTTTTAAAATAAAAAAAGGAGCGTTGTATTAAACATTCTGTATCTGTGCTAAAACGTTTTCAGCCCTTTCAGCCAAGTCAAGCCTGAAGCGTTATCTCAAAATTTTTTCTCATCAGCAAAAAGTGTTGTAAACGATCATTGAAAATATGAAAGAGCGCGCATATTACTGTGATTCTTATCTGGCAAAATTATTTTATTGTTTATAATATTTAATATTTTTCTTTAGGTCAACAAATTGTCGCTGAAGAAGCAATGGATATTGCATCGAAAGAAGGACATTGGGTCGTATTGCAAAATATACATTTGGTTGCTAAATGGTTACCACAATTAGAGAAGAAATTGGAACAATGTGCGGAAAATAGCCATGAAAGATTTAGAATGTTTGTCTCGGCTGAACCAGGTATAATTTAATGTGATTAAATCCCTAAATATCTAAAAAATGAGTTTGTGTTGTATTTAAGCTGGTGATCCAGCTGCCCATTGTATACCACAAGGTATTCTTGAATCGGCCGTCAAAATGTATGTAATCTGTTTTCAATAGTCTAAAAAGTACTTTTCATATCAAATATTGTGTTTATTTTCAGTACGAACGAACCTCCAACTGGTGAAATTTAATGATTATTTTAATTTCTCTTCGTTTCAACTTAATTTTTCTTTCTTAGGTATGCAAGCTAATTTACATAAAGCATTGGACTTGTTTAATCAAGACACCCTCGAAATGTGTGCGAAAGAAACAGAATTTAAATCAATTTTATTCGCTCTCTGTTATTTTCATGCAGTTGTCGCTGAAAGGTAGACTGACTTATTTCGTTATTTTTTATCATTAATTTCATTATATTTTGTTTTTTCGAGACGTAAATTTGGTGCTCAAGGTTGGAATCGTAATTATCCATTCAACAATGGTGATTTGACAATTAGTGTGAATGTATTGTACAATTATCTCGAAGCAAATCAAAAAGTGCCTTGTAAGTGAAAATGAAGAGAGAGAAAATTTATCTCTATGAACAAAAAAAAAGAAAAATTATTTTTTTCGAAAATATTTTCAAGGGGAAGATTTACGTTATTTATTCGGTGAAATTATGTATGGAGGTCATATTACCGATGATTGGGATAGACGATTGTGCAAAACTTATCTTGAAGAATATATGAATCCCACAATGGTAAGAGTGTGTGAAACTAAATATTGAAGAAGAATGCACTTGAATGCAGATCGCCCTAATGAATGTACTTGAGCCAAGTACTTGGGATAAATAATGAGGACAGTACTTGTGGACTTTTCCAAATAAATTTACTTGTCAAGTACTTGGCTGATACAATGCAAGAAAATCTTTTGAATCAAATACTTATTCCATTTATCTTCATTTTATATTTTGTACATATTCTACAGCCATACTCTACTTTCGTAGAGCAAATACATGCACGGCTACTAAGTTTGTTCAAAAAAAGGTGACTGGCTTGTCCAAGTACTTACACTGAAGCAAGCCAAGCGATGACATTTTACAAGTTCTTGATCAAGTACTTGCCCATTGCTTAACTTGTCACATATTTCCCAAGTATTCATCAAGTAATCAAGTACCAAGTGCATTCACTACAGGACATTTCACAGCACGATTGTCATTTATTCTATTACTCTATTAATCATGTTTTTCTATGACAAATAAAAACTAAAATATTATAGATATCGAACATTGTAGGAAAACTCTACTGTTTATCTATAAGATCAAGATAACCCTGTTTTAGTTTGAGTTAGTCTCTATTCTATTTTAGTTTGACGGTGAACTATATTTGGCTCCTGGTTTTCCAATCCCTCCTTCAACAGATTATAAAGGATATCATCAATATATCGACGAATTTATACCTCCTGAAAGTCCCTATTTATACGGTTTACATCCAAATGCTGAAATTGATTTTTTAACAACAACATCTGAAAATTTATTCAAAACTGTCTTAGAAATGCAGCCACGAGATGCAGGTGCTGGTGCTGCAGGTGAAGGTCAAACAATGACAAGAGAAGAAAAAGTATAAATTAATTATTGACTATTTTTAGTTATTTTACTAATATTTTATATTTTTTAGATTAAATCAAAATTAGATGAAATTTTAGATAAACTACCCGATGAATTTCCTGTTCGAGAACTATATGCTAAAGCCGAAGAGAAGACTCCGTACACTGTCGTAGCACTGCAAGAATGTGAAAGAATGAATTTATTAACACGAGACATGAGACGATCATTAAAAGAACTCAATTTAGGATTAAAGGTACTTTATAGAAAATTGTTTTAAACTAAATCTTGACGTTAACACAATTGAAATAAACAAATTTATTTCATTTCAGGGTGAATTAACAATAACAGCTGATATGGAACAACTTCAAGATGCTCTGTTTCTTGAGCAAGTGCCAGCTTCATGGACAAAACTTGCTTATCCATCAATGTTTGGTCTTGGTTTATGGTACAGTGATTTATTACTACGTATTAAAGAATTAGAATTATGGACGGGTGATTTTCAATTACCTGCTGCTGTATGGCTAGGTGGTCTATTTAATCCTCAATCATTCTTGACAGCTATTATGCAAACAACAGCAAGAAAAAATGAATGGCCATTAGATAAAATGTGTCTATCGGTTGATGTAACAAAAAAAACGCGAGAAGAATTAGGTGGTGCACCACGAGAAGGTGCCTATGTACATGGTCTGTACATGGAAGGTGCTCGTTGGGATACACAAACTGGACAATTGAGTGAAGCAAGATTAAAAGAATTAACACCAATGATGCCCATTGTATTTGTAAAAGCCATACCAGGTAATTTAATACTCTTTTTTTTTGTTTTAATTCGGCCGACTGTGCCATTATACCATACAGCAATCCTTTTAACGGGTAGCGCATAAAAAACCGGACTTTTTTGTTTTGTCTATAACTCCGCCGGTTTTCACCCTATCGATCCAAATTTTTTTCCAAAAGATTCCCCATTCAATTCTCTATCAGGAGCTGTTCTTTTATTAATGTAAATAATCTCCGTTATTTTCTTTCAAACGATACAATCTCTTGGTCCAACTCTCACAACTTTCCAGTACAACTTCTTTTCTAATTCGTTTCACAGCTCGCTTCAACTCTGCAATTAACGTTGTCTTTGACTGAACTTTGTTCCAGTTGACTTGGTGAACAAATTCGTCCCAGATAGACTAGTCTAAAGGGTTCAAGTCGGGAGAATTCGGGGGCCAATGATCTTTGTCGATAAGTCCAAGAAAATGATCATTGCGCCATTTTTGAGAAAATTGGTGAATATGAGGCTTGGCACCGTCTTGCTGGAGGGTCCAATCATCTCCAAACACGTTATTTCCATACTTTAGAGCCACAGGAAGTACTTCATCGATATATCGTTGATGATTTACTGTGCCCTTTATCCAAAATAACCAAAGGAGTTACGCCTTCTGAACAAACGCCTAACCAAACCATGACTTTTTGTGGAAATTGCTGTTTTTGTTTAACGCCGCCATTCTTATCAGCTTCGGCACGATTCACAGCCCAGACTTGATCGTTTTGACAGTTGTACATACCATTGAGATCAAACATTTTCTCGTCAGAAAAAAGAATTCTCAAAGATTGTTCGTTCGAAAAATTGTGACGAACCCAATTTGCAGACGTGATTCGTTTAGCTTTTTGAGTGTCTGTGAGTAGTGGTTCGATTCTTTTCTTGTACGACGTTAATCCTAAATCATTTTTCAAAATTCTCTGCACACTTCTTCTTGAAATTTTAAGTTCACTGGCCAGTTTTCGAGTTGAGACGCGTTTTTCCCGCTTTAAACGGTTTTTAATTTTTTGAATCGTATTTTTTGTTCGAATAATACGAGGTCGACCTGGAGACGTTGACAGTTCAATAGAGCCAGTCTCGGCGATCATTTTGCACCATTGAAAAACTTGAGTACGACTAGTGGCACCCTTCAAATCCCGAAATATCTTCCTGGGTGTTTCTCCATTTTGATGCTTGGAAAGTACGAATTTTTGGAGGTCTTTACTTTTCATGATTAAAAAATTTTTCGTAGAAGAATCTGAAAAAAACGAGTACATGGTTTTGTAGAGAATTGAATGGAGAATCTTTTGGAGAAAAAATTGGATCGATAAGATTGAAACTGATGGAGTTATAGGCAAAACAAACGAGTCCGGTTCTTTATACGCCACCCGTTACTATATGAGAGGAGAATAAGGAAGAAAGTTTCCGGCTGCCATCATCAAGATGGCTGAGATACAAGAGTTTTTAGAAATACTTTTGAAATCCCCGAGATTATGCGTGAAAAAACTTTTTTATATGACACAAAAGTATAAGTACGATACACAATGTAGAAATTCGATCGGTCCATAGAGACCAGAGAAATTTAATATGTACATGTCGCACTGCCACGATACAGTACAATTGCAAATCAATCATGTATGATTTTTAAGCGCAAAACTAAAGCGATTTGATTTGTGAGGCGCAGGAGAAAAATGTCTTTTACCATAAGGTGACAGCTTTGCAAAGATCAAGTGAATTTTATTTTCCAATGTGTTGTACACCACTCGATAGAAAATTCAACGAAGATCACGAATATCACCACCCTGACTCCCAAAATCGTTTCGTCGCCGAGATATCCTCAAAATACTGAGAGGCAGTCAAAAACCCAAAAATTCTCATTTTCCGAAAAAACTCCGTATTTTGGCCCCCTAAGGCCATAGAGCTTTGCAACTGGGATATTCGGATTCGACGTTGAAAACTGAATCTAGCCATGTGCTTCCCAAAGCTCTAGCTCTAAAACTGAATTTTTGATAACGTAGTAAAGTACAGACCATAACCGAGACACCCTCTTCTCGCAAGGTTTTCACAGATTTTGTGAGAGCCTTCTTTAGAAAACAGATTTGCTCACTAATTCTCATTATTCTCACAAGACACCTTTATTTATTATCTACTAAAATTTACGGTTAATATAAGCAATTTACTCTTATATCATGAATATGTGAAACATGAAACAAACAAAAAAAGATCTTGTACTTTCGCTGCAAAGTTTTTCAAACACCTTCTGAAAATCTTCTGGAGATACGATGCTTACTAAAGTTCGAGTATAAAAATGGTCTTTAGATCACTTTAAGAAATAAGTGCCTTATACAAACGCTGTTTTCGTCTTGTTTAAAATGTGAAGAAAAACGTAGAAATTACACGTGTCTGTCGTCTAAGTCATATAAAGAAATAAACCTGTATCTGTATATAAAATCTTTCAAGTTGAAAAATGTTAGAAATTATATAAAACATCTTCCGTTGTGTGAAATAGGAGCAAGTACAAGTGTATCGTATAAACAAAATTCTAAAGATGATTGAATCTGGTCCGTGGACTGACGGCATGGACCGCTGAAATTACCAATTAGGCGCCACACTACGGAGACAATTTCGAGGGCACCTGGAAGCAAATGGAACATGACTCAAACGCTATGAAGTTTCCTTTTCTTTGCTTTTAATATTTAAAATTTCTTGTTCGAGAGCAGAGAACACTTGTGACAGTATGTGTGAAATATACCACTTCCTCATAATACAAGTCCAACGGTTTGTGAAAATTGATTTATACTATTGCAAAACAGTTGCTGAACTTATTTTAAGATTATATTAAAATTTATGACACCTCAACGTATGAAGTCGCTCTTCGAACAAGAATAGTGACGTAAAACATGAAAAACAAATACAGTGGGAAGAAATTGCTTTTAACTGATGAACGATTCCTCAAAGGATTTCAGAATCGGGTGTTCGGTGACTTCAATCAAAGCTCTTAAGTTGTAGTCAATTCATTTGAATCGTGACTTTAAAAGATTTACGAGCTAAAAGCAATTTCTTCCCGCTATAATTGTTTTTCATATTTTACGTCACTATTTTTGTTCGAAGGGCAATTTCATACTCTGAGATTTCCATACGGTACCTGCCAACTCAATTTTTTCCTTATTGTAACGCCATTTTGTGTTGTTTTTTTAATAAGGTTTCGTCCAAAATTGCGCAAAAACAAAAAAAAGTTGTGTTTTGACAACTACTGTCAAGAACAAAATGTAAAATTCAGATGTAGATATTGTGATATGACCAAAATCTGGATCCTTTTAAGTCCTATGCACTCCATTTCATGTTAAAATTATACCTTCTTCCATTCGTGTACTAATGCCACCTAGGAGGCGTCATTCGTCAGTTTACTTGAAAATGGTGTGTACTTGTCATCTTATACACATTCAAACACAGACATATTCTGATATCAGCTGAAATTGATCGTCAAGAGAATAGTGTTGTTTCTCATTCCATTAGTTATTTATTATTTTCAAATTATTTATTAAAAAGAAAAACTAAAACTCAATGCTTATAAAATTTTAATAAAATTGTAAAAGTAAATATAGAGAAAGAAAAGTAGTAATACATTTCAGTGTAAAAAGCATTAGCAGAAAAACTATAAAATTATTAAAAAATTTTTCAAATGAAATTCTAACCAATAGGTTTAAATACGAATGAACAAAATACCGAATAAGTTAGATGATTCTTTTTCTCACGCTGTCTCAAATTTCATATCTCACCACGACACTGACTGATTAAATTCAGATACTTTTATTTTCATTTGATTATAAACACTATCCGATATTTGATTATCACTAAGCCAAAACATTGCTAATTTTTTATTTTCACATAAACCTTTTTCAATATGTTTTCCTCCAATATCTGATATTTTATTACGATCAAGATGAAAATATTCTAACGTCGTATTTTGAGAAAGCATTTCACCGATAGCCTTTGCACTTCGATCGCCTATTTGATTACCGTGTAAATCAAGAAAGGTTAGAGACTTATTTATTTTTAATGCTTCCGCAATGGCTATGGCTCCATCATCGGATATTTTGTTTTTAGACAGATCAAGTGAAGTTACATGTTCGTTCAATCTTAATGCTTGTGCAATATATTCTGCTCCCTCATTCGATATCTCATTCACTGAAAGATTGACTTGTTCGAGTTTTTCATGTATCTGAAAGACACTTGCAAAAGCTTTTGCACCTGTGGCAGATATTTTGTTTTCACCTAAGAAACCATCCTTTAAAGGCGTCGAGGTTAATTGTAACCGTTTTACCCACTATATGACTTCTTTCAATATCTAGATCAATTTTTTTTTTCTTTTACTCTACGATTTTTGTCGTTTTCTGAAAGGAATGAACGTTAGATAGGCTTGATTTGAATGAATATAATGATCACAGTTACTCGACGGTTCCGCCCGTAGCTCTTCGCCCTCTAAGCTTAATATTTCATCTCAAACTGGACATGGAAACGTTTAAAGTCTTCAAACCAAGTTGGCAAAAAAACATTACAGTTTCACGTCCCTACCCATTAAATTGCGTTCTATACCAGACTAACGGTAAATTATTTTGTCGAAAATGACCAAAAAAGGCTTGAAATTTTCCTTAACAGCATTGTAGTACAAAAAACGCAACAATGAGAGAAATAATGTCGTGCTTCTTTCTTCAAAACGGAAGACATATGACAATTACTGATATATTATACACAGTCAGATCATGTACTGTACATGATGTACACAGACAAGCAGACAGATAAGAATTAGCTTTCGAGGTGCTAGACTTTTAGTTCAAGGAAAAAAGTTGAAAACAACGAAAAGTTTAAAATGAATAGTCAGACCGTTTATATGATCTAGACCTGCTCCCATGTTCAGTGAGATGATCTTTCTCTCCCTCATTTGCCTGTCTTGATATATCCTTAATAAACAGCCCCTAAACTGGGCGGAGCTTCATCAAAATACGCTACTTTTTGTGCATGAAACGTGACTCTCTGAATATTTTTATTTATTTTTAATGCATCAACTATAAGCTCTATTGTTCTATCTGAAATAATTCCGATCATTTCTATCTGAATTACTTTCTCATTTTCTTTCAACGCATCAGTTACAGATTCAATTTCATCGTCTCTCAACGGACCATTAAATATTATGTCGTCTACTTTACTGTTAACTTTTAAATTTTCTGTAAATATTTTTGTTGCTTCCTTATTATCTCCAATAGAACTCTCAAACGTTACTCCTGTAACATTGTCGTATCCTTTTCCAAGAACATTAGAAAATGATTCCATTTCCTGTAATATCAATGGTCGTGTAACGTTCAAGCACATACTTATCTCAACAAATTCTACATTCATTTTTTTCAATTCATCAATATCCTCATTCGTGATATTATTTTTTTTTTCGACAATTTCGTCTGACGTAACCGTTTCCGCTAGCAAAGCCGTTTCATCTAGCGAAGGCTCTGTATTTGAAGAAAAAAACTTACTTTTCAATTGGACTAATAATAAAACGATCATTAAAAGAAAAGAAAATAATTTTGTCATTATGGAAAGCAAAGTTTCCTTCGCGTTTGTTACTGTTGTCATTGTTTTCGTTCCTGTTGTTCCTTGGCTATTATCACTTGTATCACTATCATCTGGTGAATATCCGACGAGTATATCGTTTAAATAAGCTTTTACTCTTAATGGCAATAATCGATTGCCATTGTCGTCCTTTTCATATGGAATTGGATCATCATCAGTTGATAACAGAACAGTTATTTTCGGAAATATATCATGTACATCTTGTAACAAAACAAATTCTTGATTATCAATTACGCAAACTGAAATATTTTTTGTTATGCCTTTATAGTGAACTTGTTGATACGTCATAATCTAAACAACGAAAGAGAGATCATGAGAATCCATTAATTTATTTTCAATAATTTACTTTTTTCACAAACAATGCTCCACAAAAAATCTCAAGAGAAACACACAATCATTCGCCATTCAGATCTAACTGATTTCTCCCGTAAATGATAAAAAACTTGTATTTTTATAGATATAGTATTAATGATGAGAATAACTCATTCAATATCTTCTATTTTCACCGTACGTTTTTTCTCTCTCTTATGTCTGTAGCTGTATGTGTTATATTTCTTTTACTATCTTATTACGTATGGTATATGAAATATTGTTTTTTTAACTATGTTTTTTCTTTCTGTGAAAGTATTTAAAGAACATACTGACTTTATTAGAACATTGGCCATAGAACAGACACAGAAATCCTTTGTCCAGTTTCCAAATAGGTTCTTACTTTCTGTTATAAGTTGTTAATGAGCCAGCTGAAATAGAAAATAATTTTGAAATTTTATTATTTTTTATTTAATTTATATAAGAAAAGGTTATTGCTTACAGGTCAAAGTCGCTTTTATAGATATGGCAAATATATCGATACACACTCTCAATTGGCATAAAGAAAAAGAAAATAATTTTTTCTATTGATGTTTTGTCTTTCAGCACATAGCAATTTCTATAGTTTAATGGAGCGACTGAAATCAATAATATTTTTAGACGAGAAATAACGAACGAACGAACGGAAAATTATGTGAATAGAGAAAATTTGTTTGCTTTACAATAGCCTGTTAATTTAACACACCGTCTTTCGCTACCTATTACCTGAAGTGGAACATATGTGATTGAAATAATATTTACTTTATATTTTGCAAGGTAGTGATGGGTAGAAAAAAATAATACTCGACATAATTTCGGTTTCGTTCTTTCTATATTCGTGGTCTCATATTATACATATGTAAGTCATGGAGGATGAATATATACGAAAGAACACAATAAGAGTTCGTAAGAAAAGAAAGAAAACAAAATTTTTTGACGGCTTAACAAATGACCGACATTTCGGTTAAGATACGTGGCGGTGCAGCAATAGCCATTAAAACTTCAATATTTCTCTTTATCTGATTGATTTAATCCGTCATTTCTTTGTAGAAGTTAATTGTCCGTGATGTTATATTACGCACCAGAGTTGTGCATAAGGAAGAAGATCATAGTTAAAGTTATTGCGCTCTGGCGTGTGACATAATACGTTAATCTTTCACGGTCACGTATCCTAAAGAGACATTTACGCAATAAAAAATACATATCCAAGCTGGCCACGAAACGATTATAGCCAGTCGGAATGATTCTTTCGTAAGGCAGTGGAATAAAACAGAGTAGAGTAGGGACTACAAAGGAGAACAGAATGTAAAATGAGAATGCAACAGAAATCGATTTTCTAAAGAAAAGTCTAAGCCAAAGGGGAAGAAGCGCACTCTGCAGAGTGATTGGAGTAGCTCGGAGTGCTGTGAACGTGAATAAAGTTAAGAAATTTACTCATCTCAAAGCTAAATCAAAGGCTAATGGAGTAAGAAAGTGGTCTTCCTGTCTGTTTTTACTCAATTCTGACGAATTGGCGGTGAATATTTTTGCATGCATTAGAAATCTCTAGTGAATATACTTGAGACCAGGTACTTAGACAAGTACTTGTGCAAGTAATGTCCAGAGTACCTGAAGTTTTTTGGAAGTAAAAAAGGCGCTTATCAAGTGATTTAGTGGATATAAGTACTTGAGGAAGTACAAGCGCAAGTTATATGATCCAAGTATTTGGAAATTGTCTGCAAGTGTTTAGGTAGTTTTTGGTATCTGGCAAGTATCGATCATATCCTTCTCTTCGAGTACTGAAATCACTGGGCAACTACTTATCTATGTCTAGTAAAATTACCATTTTGAGTTAAAATGCGGATCCGCTCTTAATAGTTAGACTTTGCATCATGCAATTAAGACTGGCTGTGCAAGATGCAAGACTGATTGGGAGAAATTTGCTCGAAAGCGAGAATCTCGAAAATAATTTCCTCGAATGAAGTTGCTCGAATAGAATTTCCTCGGATAGAAACCTTCTCAAATTTTCCAAACAGAAATTATCAACATTACCTGCGATGTATAGAACATATTAAAGATGAACACAAAAAATTACTTTAGCAACAGATAAATACCAACAAGACAACTGAATCTATCTCAGGTTATCTATCAATGAAACTGCTTTATTTGAAACATAAAATTTAGAAATGGATCTATAGCAACTAGTTTATTATTTGTTGTTCTATATTGGGATGAGGATATTTAAATCAGTAAGGGTTTTGATTTAAAAGTTGTAGAAAAACGCTGCCAATAATATTGTTCGAGAAAACTTCATTCGAGAAAATTATTTTCGAGCAAACTTCATTCAAGGAAATTATTTTCGAAATTTATCCCTTTCGAGGAAATTTCATTCGAGCAAATAAATGTCCCGCATGACCTGACTCTTTTGAATGCATTCATATTTAGTTATTTAAAAAGGTAATCTTATTAGACAAACTCTTAATTAAAGAAAACTGAATGCTGTTCGCTGTCATCTAATCTCCAACTAACTAAGGTGCCGAACATTCGAAAGGTACACACAAAAATAGATTCTCTTTAAATATACGTGGTTGGATAGCCCGTGAAACGCAGATCCCGAATATCACCTTTTTATTCACTTTTGACCAAGTTTTTGGGGAGAAATCTTCAAAATACTGAATACCGCCTGAAAAGTGAGATTTTGACACTTTCGAAGTAAACTTCAAATTTGACTTTATTTGTTACATAGGTTTTTGTATTCTTAAACACACATATTCGAATTTAGCAGCTCAAAAGGAGTCTAGCCATGTAAGTTTGAGAGTATTTTATCTATTCTAGCGCCTGAGCCAGATGGCCTAAGTCCATCCCTGGCTGTTTTGAGACCTGTGCGCCAAACCTATGTAGTCTTTTGCATTAAAAGCTTTTCCCAAAAATTATAAATCATTCGAACCGCCATTAAAAGGCGAACAAAAGTATGCATGCATTCGGAAAACTTTCGCTTCGTCGTGGAGAAAAGTCGACTTTACTGAATCAGAGACGAAAAAGTCGAAATTCTGCCCGTAATTCGCGATTTTCTCGAACAAAACTCAACTTTTGTGCCATAGAAATATTATATTCAGAATCAGAATCAAAAATGAATCGAATGATGTGTATTTCAAAATTTTTCGACTACTTTAAGTTACACTCTCAAGCGATATCTTAACGTATATCAATGACAAATTTATTCGTCTTGTTGAATAACTAGTTGATCAAGATATTGATGAATTATTTAATATGTTTATAGGCTTTATACACATATATATAAGTCAATAATTTCGAAATTGCGTTTTCTTTGTTTTGTTTTGAGCTATAATATGACTGTTTGTTATTAACTTAGAGATATACTCTACTTCTAATGCATTAAGTTAACATTCCAGATTATTTTTAAACGATATTGTTGTTTTTTGAAACACGAAATGTTTTTATACTTGAGGTATTTGATACAAAAAAGAAAAATGAAAATAAATGAGTTTTTTCATTCTTGTTCATGATTGGAATCGTTTAAATATGAAATTGTCTATAGTTACCAGAGATGAGTACAGGACAGGACGATGGTACTGCTGTCCTGTTGCTCAGCAAGACATGTGATGGCTGAGCGGCAAGACAGGACACACAAGCTAGTTCTGTATTTTTATATGATTTTTTTTCTACAATTTTTGCATAATGTTTATCGCCATTGGTTATACTTGATGCTTATTATGAGTTGTAGGTGGCACTAATGAAATATCAAACAGTGCTAACTTCATCATTGGTCGATAAAAGTATCAGATCAAGAACATAAAATAATAAAAAATATAATCAGCTAAGCAACACTTCGCTGCTGTTATATTTTCATTCGTACCCTCACTGAGATGAGGACAGGACGTGCGGTCGTCCTGCTGTCCTGTCCTGTCGCTCAACAGGACGGAGGTCGACTGCAGGACAGGACAGGACAGAAAAAGTTGTCCTGTGCTCGTCTCTGATAGTTACGTTAATAATCGACTGAAGTGAAAAAGATTCCATACATCGATCCAGTGATTAATCGATTAACATGTAGTTGACAGTTTATAACTTCTTTATGCTATATGCAACACAAAAACAAAACAGGTACCGGTCTCTATCCGCTGTAAAAATTCTAAATCATTTAAATCATGCTGAGAGTCCTGACTCGCAATCAAATTAGCCACACAACAGGATCAAACTGCAGCAAATGAGAGAGAAAAAGTAAGGCAGAGCTTACCGTATAGTTTAGCCTCTCACTGGAAAGACTGCTGTCTCATTTTTCCAGAAAAAATTAACAAAATCTTTAAATGACACAATTTTTGTGCGCCTTTGAAGTGCAGTGATTTGAAAAAGAAAGGTCGAATGTCATTCTGCGTCTGTGTCATCAGGAAGATTTAGTTCTGCTTTACAGTCAAGGATCTGAGTTCGTCTTTGGCCAACATTAGCATAAAATACCAACGATAATTGATACATATTTCAAGTATGTTCTTGTTCATGTAAGCTAACTTATATTCTTACGAGGGAACCTTACCCGCTGTCCAACCCCGATTTCTTTCAAACATACACCAATCGATAGTCTATATCGAGATAGTAAAAAGCCTAAAGGATTCATCCCACGGCTCTCGAAGACCTGATTTTCTAGAAAACTGGTTTTCAAGAAAAGCTGAAAAAATAACCAAAACGTTTTTTAATAAGGCATGAGTGCAGCTCGGACATTTCTGATTAAAATGAGACGCCTCCCAGCTCTACGCGCCCTTTCTTTGCAAAGTTATAGAATTTAGACAAGAAAAGCCCTAAATTAGTTTTTTTTCTTCTTATTTCTTTAGCTTTGAGCTGACAATGAACATTTAGGGCTTTTTTGCAAATTCTATAACTTTGCAAAGAAAGGTCGCCTAGAGCTGGGAGACGTCTCATTTTAATCAGAAATGTCCGAGCTGCACTCA